TTCATTTCATCAAGGGCCAGACGGAGGGTGCCGCCGCCGACAGTCCACAGCGCGGAGTCCACGCGGGGAGACCGGCAGACCTGGCCACTGCTCGCAGATATTTCTGCACTGGTCGGGCGTCTGCTCCTAGCACACCACTGAGTACAGGCACACCGTGGACAAAAACACCCATCAGGAACTAAGTGGACCAATTTATATCTGGATGACATCTCTTCCGGGAGTCGCCACAGCGCACCCCTTTGCGGTGGCCCAAAGAGGGCATCGACACGGCGTCCCCGTCGGGCGGTTTTCCGTCCGTCAGCTCCCGTTCGATCACGTCTTCTGGGTGCCGTGGGAGCGGCGGGGGACGCCCCACCCCCCAGTCCGATCGTCTCGGTCCACGGGCCGGCGCCGTGGCCTGCGGTGGCGCGCGGCGGTCGGCCGTCACGTCTCGGGCCGTGACAGGTCGGCCATTAGTGGGACCGCCCCGCGTCCCCGGTCCGGTCCGGCCCGGGGGCCGCTCGTGAGGCGCCGGAAATGAAGCATGTCCGACAGACGGGCGGTGGGCCGTTTTTGCGCTGTCCGCACGCACACCGGAACCCGTTCATGACACTGTTCGGCGCGGCCAGCTGACCCGGCGCCGGTAAAAACGGGGCGCCGGACGGGAGCTGCATGTCACCGCCGGAGCAGCTCCGTGACACGGCGACAGAGGACGTCCGGCCCGCGGCGGCGCAGACACACCGCTCCGGGGCGCATGAACGGAGTGATTACGGTGGGCAGCAGCGGGCATTACATGGTCACCACAGTCGGCAGACAGTGGACACTATATCCATCAGTGCTGAACACGCGAAGTCGCAGCTCGCATAACACTATTTGTCGCATCTCCGTCAAAAATAAATAAAGCATTCCTGTCCAAATCATCCCCAAAGCTGATCTTACGACCAAGACAGCATTACATTGAACGTTTAACAGACATTCAGATGGGAAGATTAGCCAATAACAACAAAACTCTGGCTTTTCTCATCACAACGTCTTCTCCAATACACACACGCTACCTCTCCTTAAAAACTTTATCAGTCACGTTTCCGTCTGGATTATGGTAAACTCTCAATCATTTTTTGTAATCAAAGCCCGATGAGTCTATTTCCCGGCGGGTAATAAGCTCGGAGCCGAGCGTCGAGCGGCGCGAGAGGCGGCGACCGACAAACAGGACGTCGAGATTGATGACTGAGCGCTGACAAAAACCGTCCGCGATGTTCGCCGCCGGCTATTGGGTGCTGCTGGCAGCGCGCAGATAACGCCGACTCCGATAGAGCTCCGACCGGCGCTCAACAGCTATATTTTCGGTACAGCGCCCACCTATACAGACATCTCATACTCACTGAGAGCGGCCACTCATGGGCCGTAGAACAAGACGGATCGGCGCACCCGGTGCTATCACGTGTGGATCGACCGCCCAGTGTCCAGTCCGGCCCTCCCGAGCAGCCGGACAGTCGTCGGCACCCGCCGGCAGACAGGTCCGCTGGCGCGGAAGGACACCCTCTTATTTATTAGGCTCGTTTGCATAGACGTGATAGCGTCCGCGGCGCCGACCGGAGGCGGCGGGGAGGAGCAGCGGGGGTGGAAGGGGAGGGGCACGGCGGTAACGGGGTTGGTGACAGTCACGGATCAATGGCAGTAGGCGGGTTCACTCTCACACTTCCAAAAACAAAACATATGTAATGCAATGTAACCAGTCAATCGCCGCGTTTAGTTTGGTCAACAAGTTTCGGGAAGTTATCAATCAATATGAATTTACCCAGAGAAAGTGATAATGCCGGAAACTTCAGCTGCCGGGATTCCGAAAATGTATTGCACAAAAGTATCGATTCATCATCCAAAATCATGTGCTTAGATATAATTTGGCACGCCAAAGTGTTGCTCATCAGCTTACCTATGGATAGAAATTTGCGCGCACTGGATGCAGGCAATTTCTGTTCCAAAGTCCCATGTTCCTATTATCAGTGAATTTTGTCACGCCATGCTTTCAAAAATAGCAGCAACCATGACTGACCATTGTATGTGATAGTCGTCATATACCCGGTGGTATAGGTTGGCTAACCGAACGCGCAATACTGACTCGGGACTCTGACGTCATAAATTATTGGCACAAAAAGGCAAACTCCCCTCCAACGCAGCCTCTAGCTTTGTTTCCGTTATTAATGAGTGGACAGGACAATCGGAGTTGTTTTTCTACAACTGGAAAAGATCACTTTTATCACTTTAACTACCCACCCATAATGAACACCCATTCCCGTAAAATTGATAGATTGTGCGGTCTCACAGTTTAGCTTTTTCTGGCAGTCTGCGAAACCCTAATTACCTTTTAACTATCGCTTGATAAATTGCGGATGTGTTATTATCTATAGAGCGACCCCAACAGTTATTTTTGCTGTTGTCAAGGTACCCCAGAAAAGCCGGCGATATTTAGTGAGAGTGTGGGAATTGACCGACCGACCGAAGAAGTGGACCGAAGTTCAGAAGCTCATTAGAACAGCATCAGCAATCAGCTTTAACTAGACAAAAAAACAGCAAAAAAAAAACGTTCCAAGAATAACGGAGCATGTATTTAGTTCAGTGTTTAACGCTAGCGTGCTCGAAGGACAGAAGCCAAAATTACGCACCATTGTGTCAGACTTCTCTTGCTTTCATGATGGTGTTCTAAGCGGAAGCTACCGGACCGGTATGCTGAATCACCATTTGCCGTGGTTATCCAGCGAGTTCAGGGAGAGGACAACCTTTCTGGACGACAGTCGGGGCGGCTACGAATAAAGCCTGACGAACGGGCAGCACAGCCAGGTCTTAGCGTCATGCTTCATCTGTTTGTCGGATTAAATGAGACGCTGACTAATAGCCGTCAGATAAATATTTCCGCCCAGGAAATCTCTGTTACTCACGTAACAGCTAGGCCCGAACCGCGCCCGTTTCCGCCACTCTGTCGCACTACGTCACTTTCGGATAAAACCGGCTCGTGTCTGTATAGGTCGACGGAGAAAGCACTGACCAGTGACCATAGATGGTCGACGAAAAGATCAGTAAGCATAAGCAGCCATGCACGATTCTAGTGAATGGGACTGTCTGCAACCACACGATCGAGGGTCGACCGACAGATCAGTGAGCGACCAGCAACGGTTGACGAACAGAACAGCGAATAGAATAAGAACAGAAAACAACGGCAGAAGACAAGCAGCGAACATCAATGGTCGAGAGACAGGACAGTCGGCGACCGGGAAGAGTCGACAAATAGGACATCGACCATCGCGAACCGACTTACAGGACAGCCAGCGACCATCGCGGACCGACTTACAGGACAGCCAGCGACCATCGCGGACCGACTTACAGGACAGCCAGCGACCATCGGGGACCGACTTACAGGACAGCCAGCGACCATCGGGGACCGACTTACCGAGGGAGGAAGACAGCCATTCCGTTGACGAGCGCCACCGTAATCGATCTTGATGGCTGACGAATTGCCGAAGCACTTACCGTGATATCCGCACTAACGGTCGTCGGCGGCGCCCCCTGGATACAGGCCGGGCCGACCCCCGTCGATAGAGACGGAGCGCCAACAGCGGTGATCCAATCGGATGTGACAATATGCGATTGCTCCCTCGTGAAGAGCCCCGAAGACGAACAATCTTGTAGATACACTGCATTGTAGTTTGCTGTTGCTGGGAGTTTCGTTTTTGTAGCCTTTTTTCTTTGAATAGGATAGGAACTATCGGAAGATAAGGCTTGTGTAGGACAATTATATACTAGGACAACGACACAAGAGGCAGGAGGTGTCTGGTGATGGCCAAAGACAATGACATTGACCACGATGGCGTAAGATATATCTAATTATCTATGCTAAGGGAGAACTCCAGTTTAGCAGGATGAGAGCTGATAAGCTTACCTTGTGCCGTTGATAGCAGACCTAAAACGAAAAAAGTAATGGCAAACCACATAAAAAATGAAATACCAACGGCATAAAATGAAATTATATGTTCTCACTTTTTAGAATGCACTGGCTTTCCGCCCCCTATATTGTATTCAGATCCTGACCGATGACCGCGGCCATACCGGACCACCCCGGGCGGAGGCCGTCACAGTCGCGACGGTCGCGACTTGGGTCGTACATTCATACATTCACCGTCGTCCAGCGCTTCCTCTGGTCACGTAGCCAGCTAAATCAGTGGCGAGCACCGCGTCCGCATCGATCCCACACCCACCTCCCTATCCGAGTCCGCGGCACTCTGCCCCAATATACTGCCAGACGCCTTATCAAGTTAAACAGAGCGCCGGCCAGTCACGCCAGTAAAACACCTCGTAAAAAAACTTCCCACTTACACCGGGACGCCGGCAGTGGCGGGGCGCCGCGACGAACGGACACCGCCGCGCTGGCGGAGTCTGATAGCTGCTCGATGGAGCCCCGGCCGGGACAGCGCGCACTGCCCAACCCCCTCCTCAGGTCGTCCGCCGGCCACCGCCGCGCCGACCGGCCGGACCTATCAAACGCTATCACCGGCGGCACACTGTCGTTGAGGCTTATCTGGCGCACTGCGCCGCCAGGGGACAGCCGGTGCGGCGATAACGACGCGTCGTCTGACCAGTGCGCCACCGGCGCCGCAGCTGCGCCAAGAACGCAGACGGCGGCTGTGGTAGATGATAGTTGGAGTTGGAGTCCACAGCCCAGGCCCCGAAGGCTGTCAGCCAACTAACAATCCCGCTCCAGATATGTTGCTCGGTTGACTAAAGGAAATTTCTAAAACACTGGACAGTGAAAATCTACCCAGTGCTGTAAATAAAATACCGTTCGGCTATTCACAAGCCTGTAGGTCATATAGATACTGTGCAATTAGCGTTACAAATGGCCTTGGGGCTGATATTATAAATTTCTCGTAATGCAAATTTATCTTTTACCTCATGTAAGTATTTGAGGCATTGAAATAACACCGATTGACATATGAATGTATATCGATAATACGTTGGCACTGACTGACCTGTGAATGATCCCTCGGCCGTGCATATAGGTGAGTGCCGAGACCAGCTGACGGCAGAAGGGTCGGGCGCGGCCCTCAGGGAAGCGCCGCTCGCGCTGAGCCTTGACCAGCGAGCAGAGGTCACCACCGGGAGCGTACTCCATCACCAGGCAGTAGAGGTGACCCGACTGAAGGTCACAGACACACATAGAGGCCATGTCAGGTCAGGGACTCAGGTCATCACCAGGCAGTGGAGGTGACCCGACTGTAGGTCGCACAGACACACAGAGGTCAGGTCAGGTCAGGTCACGTTAGGCAAGGTTACGTCACGTCTGATGCGTACTCCGTCACCAAACAGTATAGAGGTGACTTGATTGCACATTGCACAACATTGACATCACGTTCGAGATGTCAGGTCAAGTCAAGGCAGGTCAGGGGACGAGTCCCAGATTTTGGCGTTGCATGCGATGACAGCACAGCACATGTGGTCAAGCAAACATACAGCATCGGAGCGATCAGTTGGGTTTTTGTGTGCGTTTTGTTGCACAGCATTCAAAACAACATTTTGGAGTGTCATGGTTCACTTTAACTTCAAAAGATCGAGCCTGATAAAAAGTGTTATGGAAATATCTAAATAGCTTGACGGAATGATGGTGATACAACTGCTTCTGTTGAAAAACAAAATAATTGGAAACACCTTACCGCCCAATGGTTATATTCTAGCCCAAAATCAAAGCCCAGCTTCTTGAAACTTTTAGCAAACTTTACCTTTCAGCGCCGAAAACTTAGTCGACAAACTACTCGGCTGGCCGACTGCACCACAACACTTTTCAGCATTTTTTCTTCAACTTCCACTTGATTAATCCGCTTATTTTTGTTCTCCGGCGCACAAACACGCATCAGCAGCGGCAGCCGAGCTCCCGATCGCCTTTTGAGAGATTATAAATGTATCAATCACGCGGCGCGGCTCGCTATGGCCGCCAGCCGCGCTCCAATTCATCTCCATCGGTACGTGCGAGCCGGCGGACCCCGAAGCGGCGCGGCGCTGCGCAACATTCGCCGCCGCGCGCCGCGATTGAATAAAAAAGTTGCGCCGTCGTCTGGCGGAAAACTGTTAAACCTCTCGACGCCGTCACACGCTCCTTTGCGTGCCGGATGAGATGACAAAGTTTGCCAATGAAACGCGGAAGGAATACAAACGGGCCCATATGAGACGGACGGACGGACGGACGGACGGACGGACAGAAAAGCAAGTCACCGCCACCCGTCAGCGGAAACGGCCGACTGGCTGTCTGAGGAGGAACAGCAGCACTACCCGACCAAAACAAGTGCTCTAAAGCATGAACGGCTGCCGTCCCCCGAAACTGACTGTAGGAATCATGACTAGAATTCGTCACGAGTACCAAGGCCTGTGGGAATTATTTCAATTGGCTTTCACCCGTTTATTTCTCTTGCTCTATCTTGCTTCTCCTTTCCCAACGTATTGTTTTCATAAAATAAACGAAATGCTGCTGCTTCTCCGGAAGAGGCACTGTGGGATTGTTAGGCTGTCGGATGACACGACTCGGTCGCTTGAGAGGAACTCTGCGCGGAAAGGAGAGGGGGCCGCCGTACCACAGCTGGCGCTGCGTGACACGGCTGCACACGACACCTCTCCCGCAGCCATTCGTCACCTACACGGCACGGCACTCCCTACCGACAGCAGCCAAAAACATCTGTAAATCCATCCGCGCACCGCTTCTTTTCCACGTGCCTTTTCAATTCCGCGCTTCAAGCCACCTTTTTGCCGGCGACTAGCCGAGCTCCAACCGTAAAGCATATCGGGATAAACGGTTATTGGATCTGTCAAAATGAATGCTGAAACTCATCTATTTGCGTCTAATGCAGACTTTAAACACGAGACTCCCCGATGTTAGAAGAAGCGCGACAACAAAAACAGTCTGGATCAGAGGTGGGTCGGCAAAAACCGGGCCGGGAGCTCTCTGACAAATCGTGTGCCAAGGCGGTGGCGAAGTCCCCTCTCCGACCCTCCGCCACAGACGAGTCACTATTCCCAGAGAATAGACCTCGGAGCGTCGTCAATATCTATGCAGCCATCCAGGGCGGTGATACCCGCAGAGGACAGACATGACTCAGCAGCGATGCAGCTCGCGCCGGGAAAACTCGACAAATGGTGTAATGTTAAACAGAGCAGAGACATAAATGAGAAAAAAAAATCATAAAGCCGGCACAAGCTAACGCCGGCAAGAGCGCTACACGACTGGTAATTACAGGACGTGAATTTCAAAAGCTCTGTGAAGTTGAAGTCAAAATGTGTCGCATACTGTTGAGACACCAGTCCAAATTCCCTTACCACCGAATGCCATCTGACGGTTAGCGACATAGCTTTTCTCAGCGACAAATGCCTCAGAATGGCACCTCCCAGTATGCAGTCTGTTTTAGGACGCCATTGCCAAACGAAGGAAGGCAAACGAAGCATATGGGTCGGCTCTAAACTCGTCTTTAAAACTAATTTAATTGCGATTTCACGAGAACGGGTTCAAAGGATCGCCAAAGAGGCCGCGGTCTATCTCACTTTTACAGGGCATCTCTCCCCCAGATGAACAATTTAGTCATCCATTGTACGGACGTTTAGGAGTGACGTAAAACTCCTGAGGCGCTCGTTTTTGTCGGACCGGTTTACGATCGGCTACCGTGGATAGCCTGATTTGAAAAGAGCGGTTCCCACATGAATTCGTTCAAGGTGCGGTCGTTACTGTTTTTGCCGGTTCCCATTTTGTGCCGGTCGTTCCGCAGAATACGGTCTCCCGTAATAATTAGATGGTTCTGGCTGATGTAGTTATCTACAATGATGATACTGGAGCAACTCGCGAGCACATACAGCCACCTGCATCAGCAGACACATTAATTATAAAATATGCACCAGTTTTTCAGCGCTCAGTATAGGCCTACGGTTCACATGAAAGCATTCAACCGACTCTTGGCTTAAACGCCAAGAAACAATTGAATACGCATGATTAAAACGTGCATTGTGATCATGGAAGTTAGTTTTAGCCGCCCCATCAAATACAGCTGATTAATTTCATGACACAGCAAATGTCTAAAAGGGTAAAAACGCAGATCACGAAAGAAAAACGGGTCCTTTTCCATCTCCAGTCGGCAGTCGGCACAGAGTTCGTGGATCCCAGTCCCTCCGCCCGCTGGCAGAGGGACTTCAGGGAGAGGCTCCAGTCGGAACTGGCCCGCGGCGGCGGCAGAATCAACACGGCTGTGTGCCTGCCGGCCGGCAGTGGCCACGCCGTCCCCCGGCCGATATTGGCACACAGAGTTGCCGGCGGCCGATAGACGATTTACGGCGCCGTATATTTCTCCGTTTGAGGTCCGTTTGACTGGCGCTGCCGGGTCGGCCGCCGCCCACCGTCAGTGCCCCGGCAGAGCGGCCGGCCGCGCGCGCTAAATGAAATACAGTGAGCGGCGGCGGCGACTGGGCCGCGGGCGGCGGCCGTTAATGGGTTCCCGGGCGGCCGGCCGCCACTCCGCTCCTGGCCATTGTCTCCTGGTTATGGATGGCGTCGCACGGATAAAAAGCCGGCTAGCATTAATATCTGGAGACGGAGTGCAATAAAAGACAGCTGCCCGACGGCGGCGGCCGCGCACGAGGAGGAGGGGAGCGGGCCGCACGCAGTTATCACCCGCGGTCAGCCGATAGGGTGAGCGCTGTAAAGTAGCGGGGTGTAGATCACTGCCGCCCAGTCGAGCTCCATCGCCACTCAGTCTCAGAAGCGGCCTCTGAAGAGTGGGTGTCACGCTACACCCACCGGCCAGCCATTACCCACCGGTGGGTACATTTCGTCCAGGGATACCGGTGATTGAAAGGTACTGGACACGCGTTACGACGCGGGGAAAGTCCGAGCCGGTGAGCTGTTTGCCTCTCTCACCATCATCGTCTCGTAGAGTCGGACGATGTTGGGGTGTCGCAGTCGGGAGAGCACCTTCACCTCTCGGCCCAGGTTGCGGCGGACATACTCCTCCTTCACCTTGTCCACGTCGATGATCTTGATCGCCACCTGAAAAAAAGAACAGAAGGCAGACGTGAGTAGGAAGTACACACTCCACAAACATCAGCACGATTAACGGGCGAACCAGATGTTTGTTAGTCCCCACAGCTTCTAATTGGCTTACGTTGCATACAGTAAATAAATGTTCGTTTCAAACGCGTCTTGTGTCTAGCAGCGGCAGCAACTTCGCTTGTACTACGCTTTCACTTTGTTAATGTAAAATGTATCCGACGATCCATTATGGTTGTGATGCAAGTCCCCAAAAGTCTGGCATGCGAGGGCTGGCACACTTATATGCAACATTCTGCATGTGACAGTATTTTCCAAAACTGTTTTCGCGTTGCAGCTGCTGAGTAACTTCCTCATAATCTTGGAAAACGGCATACAAATGCCTAATTAATCGTGTTGAACGGTTTACTTCTCAGCTGAATGGCTAATTAACGGGCGCAAATGGCGTCTGCTTATTTTCAGAAGCCTCATATTGACTCGTTTTATGGCGATCACGAGTGCTTGTGTTTACTTTCAGCTGTATCTCGGCGAGCTTAAATCCATATTTCGCCGGCCCACAACTCTGTTATCGACGCTCGTAAGGGGTGCCGGAAAAAAAGTGAGTGATGATGCGTCCCGGTGATGTTTTCGACGGCCAGTGGCGGCGCAGAACCGGGGTCTTCGTCACAGCGAGGCAACGGCACCCGAGACGGCAGACGGGGACCCGAGAGGCAACTGTGGACGGACAGACTTCCTAAACCAGCGACAGAGGATCGCACCGACACCTCGATATCAGAAGGAGACCGTTACATCCTTCTAGCAATAGGCAAAGGCCGTGTATGAAAAACTTCCGACTAGTGAGCAAATAGACGATTTCAATAAAAAAGCGGAGAAAATTAATGACGAAAGCCCTGACACATGACAGCCAACATCGTCTAGCACGGAACTGAGAGCAAACAGGAGTCTCCCGCAGTCCTTCCGTCAGCCTCTCACCGCCAGCGGGATCCTCCGGGCCGCGAGGAGCATCCACCACCGAGCTGTCCTCGCCGCGTCCTCAGTCAAGCAGGTCGTGATGGATAATGCAGCATTATCTTTCCGGCGAGCTGACGGTAGCGGCGGAACTGAAGCGGCACGAGCATGGACAAAAGAGCCACTCAGTCGGCGACCACAGGCCGTCGGTCCCTCGCTGCAGCGTCTCGGGGACTACGAGTGGACACCGGCCGCGGCCTCTCCTCGGCAGCTTCCAGATTGACAGTCGGGTGGTGATATCATAGAGGCACGGACAGGCTCTGAGGCGAACAGAAGAACTGGTGGGTCCGGCTATGGCAATGATGGCACACATCGTGTTTGCAGGGAGCCAGTGGAAGCTATTTAGCTACATTGTATAATCGACAGAAACCACATCTCAGTAAGACTATTGCCACTAAGATCTTACAGCGCAGCCTTGGTTGATAGCTTTCAGAGTTGTCTGACTGCCCTAGTGGTCCTCGTTCATCCCTGCGCAGCAGCTCCGCAGCGCTGGGCGGCGCCCGGTGCCATCTTCATTAGCCGGCGCGTCTGTTTTTCCCGGGTCAGAGGTGGCCGCGTATGGCTCTGACCCCGACTGACCGCAGTGAATCTCAGCTGAAGGCTGGCTACGCCCAGAACGCGCCGCCGTGCCGAAAGTGGGCCAGTTTGCAGCACGTTTCCAGCGGCCCAAACTGCCGGCGCCGCGGCCACTCTCCGCTCGGAACTGCCCGTGACCGATGGTCAGAGAAAGCTCCCACTGAGCGGGGAAGACGGGAAAACGGCCCGGTCAGCCAGCACCCTGCCCAGGTCCCGGGGTCGCTAAACCCGGGACACATCTCAATCAGCCAATCGGCCAGTCGGCTGTCACCCGTTAGCCGATTGGCTTTGGCAGCTCAGCGCGCCAGTAACAAGTTGTTTTGCTAAAGCTGAAAAATATAGCTCCCCACGGGTGGCAAATTTATAGTCTCCGATACGTCTCAGGATTGAGCGCTTCCAAAATTCCTTGCCGCTCTCGGCCGGCCAGTACATACATAGATCTTCCCGCGACAGCCGGGACGCACGCCCCCCATTGAGAGCAGTCGATTCGGCAACGGCAGGAAAAAACAACATAAGCGATTTTCCTATTTCTGAACGCCAAATCGCCAGGGGAAATGGCCCGCGCGGCCCCAAACAGATGGACTTCATTTGCAGCGTGACGTTAACGGGAGGCGTCTCCGCCTTCGCCAGCCGTTCTGCAGACACAGAGCGAGAGAGGGAAATATCTCCGGCTGTCCTCGGGCGTCTCGCGCGCCGCCCCGGGGAGCGGCACGGCCGGCGCCCACTCGCCGAGACACATCGACTGGCGTCGCTGCAGACTGCCGTCCCGGCGCGCCCCGTAATGGAATCCCGCTCGGTGTCTCGATCCGGCAAACTAGATAGAAAGGATCCCAGGGATGGAGCCGTAACGCACAGCGCGGCGGTGGGATTTCAATGCATTGTTTTGATATACCAACTGAATATAAAAAGTGGGTGATAGAAATGGCAGCCCTCAAGCAACCTCAAGAACCATCTTCAAGAAATAAATGTTAAGTTTCAAGTTCTTTTTCATTAGTTTAGACATACAAATAAATAAAATACACACATTTTTTTTACACACTATGAAAACATATGTATATCCAGTGTCATGAAATTCAAGCATGACGACTAATGCTAAACCTTGACCAATTCATGAAGCACTCCATCTGCTAGCAAGTATAGTGACTAGTGAGGAGTAGAGAGACGGAAAGCTGCGGACCACTGTAGTTATGCTGGGCCCTCGGCGCTCCCGTTAGCGATAGGCACGGATACGTGCCCGTAACCAGACCCAAGATAACCAAATCCCATCCACCTACAGTTGCCACTGCGGCAGTCCGCCAATCTCCCAGTCCGCGGCAGCCCGCTCCAAGCCGGAGCGAGCCGAGAGCGAGCCGGAGCGAGCCGAGAGCGAGCCGACCGCCGCGCCGCCTCCCGGCCCGGCCGGTCCGTCCAGATTGCATTGGCGGCCGGCCGAGATAAAAGTTTACTCGGATTGACCGATGGGCCAGCCGTCAATGAGGGCCGGCCGCCGATACTGGCGCGGCCGCCATTCAGAGCTGGCCTCCTCGGGATGGATGGAGCGCCGGCGAGCGGCAGCGGAGGGGCACGGCCGACAAAGGCCGCAGAAATCTTCAGAACAGACATCCTCTAATATTGACTTTTCGTCCAGCGAGTCGGTCTTTCCCAGCGAGAGAGAGGCTGAACCACTCGTACGACTTCAGATACAGATTTAATCCGTAGCCCATCTTTGAGTTTAGCGGACCATGTCACGCTCTCCAAGAAACCCCGGCAACAAGTTCTCTCTCAAAACACCAGTCACAGAGAGGGCTCATATTTAACTCAGTGTGTACGGGCACGGCTGAGCCGGCGGTGCCGCGGCCGAGTCGTACCTGCAGTATGAATTATGCAGCGGCCCACTCGGCCAACGACAGCCGGCCGGCTGTTTTGACCGCCCGATTGCGGCCCGCAGGAGAGCGCTGCATGACAGTCAGTCACACACGCACACCGCCCGACAGCCATCTCACGTGGACGGAATTTTAGAGTTGAGCCGGCCGACGGCGGACGGTCGCCGACCGAGGCTGCCGAATAAGAGCCAAACTCGTCAGCCCAAAATGTCGCGCCGAGGCGTTGGTTTCAGAAGCTAGCCCTCCATATGAGTCCAGAGTCAAACGGTGACGCGCCGCACAGGTGCCGCTCCGAGCGGCCGGCCGACGATATTCTCCGGCGCTGTCCTGCACTCACGTTTTTAGTCGCCACCGCCGAGCTCCTCCGGTGTCGCGCTCCACATGTGCCGCCAGCGCCGGCTGTGCCCTCATTAGCTCGCCGATTTGGCCACAATTTGCTAGAGGGCGTCATTTTTCGTCGCACCGCGCCCCGGCTACCGGCGGCGGAAGACGAAACGTGCCGCATAATGGCCCGCGCGGCGCCATCAACTAATGAGCGTCGGCCGGTTTTTGCGTGTGTAACTCGTGCTGTTCCGGGGCGGCGGCGTTCCCACGGGTTTTTGCTCGACTACCGTACGATATGAAGCAATTTGTAAACAGATTCATTGTGTGACGGAAGTGCCGCATCATGTTTGCAAACCAGACGCGATGGGGCTGCGTCCAGTCCTGAGTGCCCGCGTATTGTACGGCCGAGGCCGCTGCTGGCTTCGTTATGAAGAGTTCAAAGATGGGACGAGACGCAAAAACAGCATGACATGCAAGAAAGTGGACACGGGGCGAAATCAAATGCACTGAAAGCGTGATAAAGAAACTTAATAGCGCCTCCGAAAAGATAAAGTTGTAAGCAAGAGAATATTCACGACAATCAAATATAATCCCCGTAATGCTATTCGTCTCTACTTGACCAATGAACTATGCATGTAGAGCTGTGTTCAAGGTTCCATCTGTGGACACATTGAGATGTTCCGTCTCTGCTTACCACTGTTAGGCCCCACTGTCCACCTGTCTCCATGGGCCGGTGCCCCAGGTCCCTGATCCTGCGGGGGGAGCGTCCGCCCGGCGGGATGACGGGAGCACGGACATGTCGCGCCATCGAGGAACAATCTCGGCCATCCCCTCCCGCCCCCGCCCCGGAGAGGATCCATTAGCCGTGTACGGCCGACGTCTCTCGTCCTCTGTCTTTCTGCAGGCGGCCGTCGTCGGGAGACCAAAGAGGCCTTTGTGAAAGATGGGGACGTTAGAGGCAGCCCGTCGGCCGGGCAGGGAGGGCCGTAGGACGAACCGACTGGGCCCAAGCAGTGTCCGGACGGCGGTACCGTGGACCAACTGTTTCGGTGACGTGGCCACAGCAGGTCCGCAGCGCGCAGTGATCGTGTAGATGGCGATAGCCAGAAACAGATGACCAAACATGGAAAATGAAGAAACGGAAATAGTCGAATGGAAAGATTTATGCAACAATTCAAATAAATGTCCACAGATAAAAGAGAAATACTTCCTTATGAATGGAATGGCAAT